CCCTCCCCAGCATCACTATAGGCCCCCTTCAGATACTGGAAGGCTGCTATGAGGTCTCCACGCAGCCTTCTCTTCTCCAGGCTGAACAGCCCCAACTTTCTCAGCCTGTCTTCATACGGGAGGTGCTCCAGCCCCCTGATCATCCTCATGGCCCTCCTCTGGACTTGTTCCAACAGTTCCATGTCCTTTTTATGTTGAGGACACCAGAACTGCACACAATACTCCAAATGAGGTCTCACAAGAGCAGAGTAAAGGGGCAGGATCACCTCCTTTGACCTGCTGGTCACGCTCCTTTTGATGCAGCCCAGGATAATACATTGTGTTAGGTAAGCAATTGGTCTTCCAATAAAAACCTAAAATCATAGAATGATTAGGATTGGAAAAGACCTTAAGATCACCTAGTTCTAAACCCCCTGCTGTGGGCCTCATACTAGACCATGTAGCCCAAAACTCTGTCCAACCTGGCCTTGAACACTGCCGGGGATGGAGCAGTTACCACTTCTTTGAGCAACCCGTTCCAGTGCCTCACCACTCTCACAGTAAAGAACTTCTTCCTTATATCTAACCTGAACTTCCCCTTGTTCAAGTGTGAACCCATTGCCACCCTGTCCTATCACTGCAGTCCCTGATGAAAAGTCCCTCTTTGGCATCCTCGTAGGCCCCCTTCAGATACTGGAGGCTGCTATAAGGTCTGCACGCAGCTTGCTCTTCTCCAGGCTGAACAGCCCCAACTTTCTCAGCCCATCTTCACACGGGAGGTGCTCCAGTCCCCTGATCATCCTCATGGCCCTCCTCTGGACTTGATTAAACAGTTCCCTCTTAAGCTGGGGACATCAGAACTGCACACAATACTCCAAGTGAGGTCTCACAAGAGCAGAGTAGAGGGGCAGGATCACCTCCTTCGATCTGCTGGTCACACTCCTTTTGATGCAGCCCAGGGTGTGTTTGGCTTTCTGGGCTGCTAGCGCACACTGAAGCCGGTTCGTGTTCAGTTTCTTATTGACCAATACACCAGTGCTGCTGTGAATCTCTTCTTTGCCCAACCTGTAGCTGTGCCTGGGATTGCCTCTACCCGGGTGTAGGACCTTGCACTTGCCATGGTTAAACTTCATGAGGTTGGCATCAGCCGACCTCAGAAGCGTGTCAAGGTCCCTCTGGATGGCATTCCTTCCCTCCAGCGTATCGACCAAACCACACAGCTTGGTGTCATTGGCAAACTTGCTGAGGGCACACTCAATCCCACTGTCCATGTCACTGATAAAGATGTTGAACAGGATCAGTCCCAACACTGATCCTTGAGGGACACCACTCGTTACTGGTCTCCAATTGAACATTGAGCTGTTGATGCATGTGACCATCCAGCTAATTCTTTATCCACTGGCTAGTCCATCCATCAAATTTCTAACAATAACATTCAGCTACTGTTGGTCACAAATTTATATATTAGATAAACAAGAGTTAAAGTGGAAGCTCAGTGAATGCTAATTTGTACTTCCATGAATTTTTACATTATTTTTGATGCTCTTTCAGGACTAAACTGGTATGAGTGAAAGTATGTCTTATTAAGTGACACATTTTAAATATTTATTTTTCAAAACATTTTGTCAAATGCTTTACTAAAAATAATTACCTTGTTATGCTAAAATAATCCCAAGAAATTGCAATGTATGGAATAACTATATTCCAAGTGGAAATAATGAGAAAAACTTATTGCTTAATAAATATATTTCAGTATCTTATTTATCTTAGTTACTTATCATTACCTGGTTATTAAATGCATGAAGATAGAGAAGCCTGAAATAAACTGAAACATCCTTTAAGGCAAATGAAGGATATTGCACTTTTGTGAACTTTTCTGGTTCTTTCTATTTTTTCTTGTTGACTAGAAGTATAAGATCATTTGTTATTTTTTTTTTAAACGCAATTTATAACAATGACATTTTGAACTTGGATATACTATGATAGTTCTGAGAAAATTATAAATAATGTCAGCTGTCTCTTTGGATTCTAGTATCCCTTTGTAATATGTTTGTTTCCCCTCCTTAAAATCCCTCTCAACATGTCATTCATGTTCTTCTGATGACCTTGCACACTATGATATTCAGACTGTTTCACTCTTGGCTATAAGTAAAGTAGCCTTTCCCTGACATATTCAATAAAAGAATCTCTTGGTTTATATAGGTAACTGCTGGCAGTTACCAGCATCAATAGCTATCTTTGCTGAAAAAGTCATAAGAGGTTACAGAGTCTAAGGATTAAAGAGATGCACAGGATAATGGGGAGAAGGCTGAAGTATTCAGAGTGAATTTAATGGCACAGCAGTGTCACCGTTATTCGTGGTAGCAGCATTAGAAGCAGCAAAGAACCCTAATAGTTTAAATTAGTCTTCAGGAATCAAAACAAAGGATATGAGCAAATGAAAGTTCAGTCATGTCCCAACAGCTTTTAGGTTATAGTCTGAATCATTAAATTCAGTCTCATAAACAGCAGATTAAGTCAGTGTTTATGCTTTTATATCTTGTCTAACCACTGATAGGCATGAAGGATTCTCCTACTTTTAACTGAGATAGATTAAAAAGATCTTTCCCTTTGAGAAATTCAAGACCAAATAATGAACTAGCCAGCATTCTAGGCTATAAATCTCATTTTGCAATGAGCATGAAGATGTCTTTTGAGGACCAAAAGTAATGGGCCAAAGCCTGTATTATTTAATAATTTTCTTTTCAAAACACTCATCAAACTGAAAAATATTTCCCTGTAAGTACAATTAAGCAAAAACCTGCAGTACTTGCTGTATGTGAGCATGATTAAATGTGTAATATTTCTGTATGAATCAGCTTTATAATTACTCAGTTTTAGTTATTTCTAAGCATGTCTTATTTCTTACGTGTAACAAAACTTAAAAACAGAACTCAGATAAAATCCTGAATGGACCTTCCTAGAGAGAAAAAAGTAACAGAAATCTAAAAATTAGAAATCTATGACTGAAAACTAACATATTTTATGACGTGATGGGAGGACAAGTACCATACCTGAAATTGTTTTTATTTTCTAAAACAGCTAACATTAAATTTAAATTTGATGAAGTTCCTTTAAAATGGTACTTAGGACTTTTTAAGTTAACAATATGTAATGTTTCAAGCTTTAATCTATGATAAGAAATTGCTCATAATAAAGCGGAAAGAGAAAGTACATAACATGGTTTTACATACTCTATCACATGCATTGTATTCAAGAGATGTCGTTTGATTGTTAAAATATAAGAACTGTCAAATGGAGAACCCTACGAGTCCGTTTATATCCTGAAAAGATGTTGTGATAGAACTTGCTTTTCCAGAGGTCTTCAGTCCCATTTGCAGTAGGTGATTCATCTCAAATAAATTTAGTCATCTCAAAGATAAAGATCTAATCTAAAGTTAGAGACTAACTGGGAGAAAGGGCTACCTTTTTTGTTTGGTTTTTGTTTTTTTCTTCTTTCCCAATATGTTGGCATTAAGATTAGTTTATCAAGAATTAGGTTAGGTTGTTAAGATTAGACACTGTTGATGTCTAAATTTAGGTGGGATGGTTTCCTCATTAGAAGAAAGAATTCAGGTAAATTCTGAAACACTGCTTTGAAACACATAGCTGTGAGATCTACTCAATAATTAGTTTCAGTTGTAGTGGACATAACAGCATGTAAGATTAGAAATAAAGCTCACATTACTCCTCCAACAGCACTCTGAAATAACATTTAACCACAATAGAAGTCACATCAGTCTGCTCCTAAGTGCTGTGCTGGTTTAGATTTTCAGCATTTTATTATAATTTTGATTAATGGTTTAGAATTTACAAGGACCTGGAAATTCAACTTTAAAAATAAATTTAAAAAAAAAAGCCCATGTTGATCTTCATGCAAAACATCAGGAACAAGATTATTATAGGTGAACTATGTGCCACTGTGAATACAGAGAAAAAGAACGTGATACTGAATGTCATAGTATTTCCTAGTTAAGTTTCATCCACAGAAGCCAGATGTTTTACAGCCTAATTTTGCTTTAGCTAAATAATTTATTTTTTCTGTTTTCTTCATTTTGGGAGGCAGCAGTAACAGGAAAAAGCTGCATGTGCTGCAGTATTCCAGTTGCTCTTAGAGTCACCAAAACACTTATACCCATGTATTAAAAGCCTCAGAGTTACAGTTTAGTCACATTCTTCACATATGCAACCATTCCTGTGCATTCACCGAGAGCTACAATTTTGCTCAAAAATATGTAAGCAAAATAATGTATATTCCCCTTGTATTTTTCTTATGGAACAACATAGGCTAGGTTCTGTTTTTAAAAGAAAACAGGTATTACATTATATCATGAACTAGAATTTAGGGGAAACTTCAAATATTCTAATCATTAAATTTTAGCAGCCTATCATGTCAACAGGATAGAGTAACGAAATCAAAAGAAAAGCAAAACTGTTTTTTATGTCCATTATTAAGCGCACAGTTTACACTCTTAAGTTCAAATTTTGCAATCACCGCCCTTTTCAGTTTCTAGTATAAAGATTAAGATATTGGTGCCTTAGTGTATGTAAACTCAAATATGAAATTAGGAAGGCATCTTGGTCTTTTGATTGTAAGATTTTTGTAAGATTGTAAGATTGTATGACTGGGTTTGATACTCTGGTTTTTCTGTGCTAGCATACTGGAAAATAAATATATAACTCGTCAAAGAGATTACAAAGATGTTTCCATCATACTGTAGTAATAATGGGAAAAAAAATCAATTAAATATCTTCTAAAGAAAATCATCTAATTATAGTAAGACTCCTGTAGATGCTGTTTCTGTAAAAATTGAATGCTCTTTGACAGTCTTTTCTAAATGGTGGATATTAAATATAGTAATTTGCCTATATTATACTTAGAACATCCATAGAACAATGATGGGAGAAATATTTATTTTTTTTATCTGTACATGATTTTAGCGTAATGAATGTGTTCCTATTGTTTTCTTTTGATATTGTAGGTAAGCACACTAGACTGGGTACGAGCTGAAAAAATCTATAACCTCTGTGAGGTTCTATTTAAAATTCACAAGGTAGGTTTCCTAACAATTACAATGATATTATTTAGTAAAGAAAGCTTGCCTTTTTCTGTTAATTGTAAACTCAAGTTAATCTAAACTAGGAGCAGGTAACATTCAAATAGGGCATCTGTTGTTAAAAAAAAGTATTTGTAATTGCTAGTACATTAGCTATCTAAGGATGAGAAAATGGACTAAGCTCCAAGTCCGCAAGTTACTAAAATGCTTCCATTTTGAAGAAAATTGTCAATATTACAGCTGGTTGTATAAAGGCATCAGCTAAGCATAATGAAGCTGGATATCACATTTTTCTTAGTGGGTCAGATTTTTCAGTGAATGTGATGAAGATTGCTATTACTGTAATTCCTGATCTATACAAAGATACTTTAGTAATTTCAGTAATTAGAAGTATTAAATTATGTCCTTTTCAGATCACGTGTAATTTCCAAATATTATAGTGGGTTTGACCAAAGGATAACATGGTGTATTTGTGTGCTACAGAATTCTTCATTATATTCCACCACCTAGAGACAGCGTCATGCTTTCTGTTTAACTTGTTCCATGAAAGGATTTTGGTCAAAACCTCAGTAGTCTGTTTAAAGAATTGACTTACAGAAGATATTTTCTAATAAGTTGTATCTGACAGATTAATTTATTTCTCTACCTGCTAATCAAACACTGCTTTGCAGGTGAGGTAAGGCTAAGATGAGAGCCTAAGAGAGTAAAACCAAACATATTACCAGGAAAAAACAAACAAGCAAACAAACAAAAATATTGGTCTTTTAGGTTGTGAAATATGGACTCACTCCTCTAAACAGGATAATGAGGTTTTATTGAGGGACAAAGTCAATAAAGCAAAAGCAACAGTGCTGGGCACATGACTGTAGCCAGACGCACGAGTGATTAGCATTTGTTACAGGTTTATATACTTTCACTATTACATTAGTTGCATGCATATTCATAATTCCTGCATATAGGCAGGGAATATTATAACTAGCTCCTGGAACTTATTATCATAAGTCCCCTCCTCTTGGCATCTGTGCACTGCTCTTGGGTGATTGTGAGCAGGGGTCTTGAGGATGAAGTGAGCAGTCTTCCTCTTGTGAGTAGAGGTCTTTAGGGGTCTTCAAGGGTCTTCAAGATGAAGTAAGCAGTCTTCCTCACAGTGTACATTTCACCTTTGGCACAGTTGGACGCCCCAATAATCACACAACTAGCTGAAACCAGCCATATCTGCAATTCTGATAACTATAAATGATTTAAAACAGTGTGACTTTCCTGCAAAATTTATTGCAGGATGGACAGACAAGGGGTATCCCAAGCTGGCAGATGTTTGAGAGGCTCTGTCTCTAAATTAACTGATAAGCAGAAGGATGGTGTGAAATAAGTCATTCATGTTTAGTGGGACCACTAAATCCTGTTATCTCACCACAGACTTACAACACAAACGTTGTTCTTTAAAACTAAAGATACTTTAGAAGACTAGTGTGAAACAATTAACTCATGTTTAGTGCAGCCACTACATTCCACAGACTTACAACATAAACATTGTTCTCTTTCTACAACCTCAGTTAAGCTAAAAAGTACTTTAACTATGATTTTCAGGCACTAGCTTTTCTTATATCAAGCCCCTCCCCTCTTTCTTTTACCTTTACAAATTCTTTTGCTATGTGACTCCGTTTTACTCTAGAGTTCTGGCCCTTTTTAACTTGTTGTCTAATCTTGTGTCTTTAGCGAGATTTGTTTCTGTTATTGTAAACTGGTCAGTTATATCCACATAACCACACCTATGATTTGTGAAAGCCAATACATTTATGTGTTTATCACACAGATAAAATGCTGTTTTCACTGAAAAATTACAAAGCAGCTTTATTTCTCACCAGCTGCTGTCCTCTCTGCTGTTCATCCTTCAACCCTGTACTAATGTGGAGAGGGAAGGCTGTTGCTCTGTTACCTGTACAGATCCTGACCTAACATTGCACCAAAGGAGAACAGATTAAGTTTTTTGGGTTGGGTTTTCTTCCGGATTCAACATAGTTATTCAGGACAATTTACAGAAAGAAAAAAATAAAAGGAAACAAACAAACAAAAAATTCATAGACCTAATAATAGCACTCCATTCTCCTTTATTGCCCTGTTCACCATAGCAAGGAGCTCTCTGTAGCCCTAAACATCCAAATTCTTCAAAGAATGGGGTGACAGGGGGTTCTGTGTCCTGATTGCTCAAACTAATTGTCCCAAACTGACTTACAGAAACACGGGCATGCTTTCTGCACCAGTTTTTTTGACTGATTCAAAAACTAAATAAAAAAAAAAAGAAACTGAAAAAGTGATGAAGTTACAGCCGACAGAAAAAGGAGCACACAACCAACAGAGAGCAGATCAAGGAGCACAGGGAATTTGATAGAAATCTACAAAAAAAATATCTCTCAAATGAGCCTACATCTGCATTTTAGAGAGTTATCAGTCCCTTTAACAAGCTGCTATAAGAGCTTCTGCTGATGTCAGCTGCCAGTTTTGCAGCTCATCACTACCTGTTCTTATTCTGTTGTAAACCTGCAATCATTGAGTGGGAATGGGTTGGGGTGGAAGGGGGAGGTTCTGTCCATTAATCTATTTTAAAATTTACTTTCTTCTGATAAATAAGTCAGGCAACAATGAAATATAAACTCATTGTGTCTCTTGAAAAAATTTTGCTGTGGTTTGAGTTTTGGATTTTTTCTTCTTTAAATGCTGCTACTGCTTTAAAACTCAGTCCTTCCTTGCATATTCTCATATTTTCAATCTATCCTTAAAGCAAATACTGTGCTACTTTTTCATTAACAAAAAGCAGTGGGAAATAAACTACCCAGGATTCAACTCTTTAATGTTCTTGACATTTTAGCAAATGAATACTTAATTGCCAGTCTTCATGAATACATTAGTTAAAGTGCAAAACCTCAAATTCAACTCTTTAACCTCTTTTCTGTTGATTCTGTGGCATAAATGACAGTGAGGCAAACTGAGCAAATCCAAAAAGATAGGAACAAATCCTAAGCAGTTAGGATTTGTACACTGGAGACTGAAAGATGGAGTTTACGTCGTAAAAACTGCCATTTGGGAAGAGTATTCCTAAGTAGTTTCAGAAGCTAGTTCGAACTAGTGCAAAGCTGTGGTGGAGACTGCTATTGGATCTTTCCACAAAAGGTGGGTTTTAAGGAGAGGAGCATCTGTTACACACCTTGTCATCTGTGTTTATTATGACACAATAGTTAGACATGAAAAATAAGAATCCAATAAATCCAATACGGAAATTACATTTTAAAACAAAATGTTTGCTATGTTTTAGATTTGTGTGTGTGTATACATGCGTATAGGTACACACTTGCATTTACAATCATGCATATATCTTATGCTGTAGTTTATTCATGGACTTTTAGTAGTAACAAACAGATGACTGAAACCATAATCACTTTTATCACATATGTTTCTTCCTGTACCTTGCCTCATACTATATATTCACTGAAGCTGTTGCTGAAAACCTGTATTTTTCAGGGGTTAGAATACTAGACACATTTTTAAAAGCCACCTGTCTTAAAATCATTTGATTTTGTTTTATTACTTGGTATTTTCACACGTCTCATTTTCACACACAAAGTAAAGATATTAATATAATACTCTGCAAGCCAGAATGAGTGGCATTGAGTTGTGAAGCAGATACAGATGTAAAACCTGTCCCTCCATAGCTGCTGAGCATCAGATTATATATAGGTATTTCATTCCACTTCACTTTCAGCAGTCTAAAGGATCATCGTAAAACAAGTTTTGAATTCCTTGAAGACTGCTCTCGGATAGCTGTAGGGCCATTTTTAACAACAAAGTACTGTGTACATTGGTGGCTGCTTCTGAGGTGCCCCACAAAACATCCTTAGTTTACAGTTAACTTGGTTGACTTGGGTAAATTGCAGAATGTTATATTTGCTAGTTTATGTTTTCAGTAATTGACCAGGACAAGCAATATTTTCAGTTCCCATCTGAAAGTACACAGATATGTTTGCATTTTTTTTTTTATTTAATTTTATTTTTCTCTACATGTATGATAGTCAATGAAGTCTTGGAAAGTTTCTGGTCAGAATTTGTTTTCATTTACAAAACATTCTGTTACAGGGATAATTATAAAAGACTACTATGAAGTTTCTCTTCATCTTGAAGGTGTTGGTAGGATCTCACTTCACTTCGCTTGTAGTTGCTGAGCAGCACTGGCAGCTTTTAGGGGGCATTTGAAAGCTCACATTATCATTTCCAGAATTAGCCCTTCAGTGCTTGATAAATTAATGCATTCCCTAGTGTTTAACATATTGGAACCCAGTTACAATGGAGTAGTTATATTCTTCTGTAAAGCTGCTACACAACTCTTGAACTGAGTTCAGACAATTCAGGGATTTCCTTTCTTTTCACTGTAAACAATATAGCGTTTTACGAAGTCTTTTTAAATTATGCATATATTGCTTAGGTAACTTTGTATTTTGAAACTGCACAAGTAGCTTGGATTATATGACACAGGGTAAAGTGAATAAGAACAAAAGAGTTAAGTTGTCTGTGAAATTATTACTTAATTTTCAGAACATTTGTACAAGGTAATTATTAGCATAATGACATAATGTATCTGAGTACCTGTTACTTACAGAAGACAATGTCGCTTTAACTGTTTTTGCTAGATGAAGAATCATATACTGAAACATGTCTTTCAGCTCTGGCTTGCTGACGATTGCTGGCTACAAGCAAACTTGTATTTAGGTATTCATCAGGACTTTGATCTTGAAGACCAGAGGCCGTATTGTTTCAGTGTTATGGTTGGACATGGCAAGAGTCATTATTTCAATGTAGAGCTGGGCAGCGAATTGGCAGTGTGGGAGAAATCATTTCAAAGAGCGATTTTCTTGGAAGTTCAAAGAACAGGGGTAAGTAATGAATAATTTAAATCCTGGAGCCATTTCATCAGTTAAAAAAGTATAACAAATTTTTAGATGAATAGTATGTTTAATACTTGCATCAGATTGATGTGCCCCGTGACTAAGGACCTCAGTACATTTTAATACACCCAAGGCTTCTGAAAGTTGCATCATCACGTCAGTATTTGTATGTCAGTGACCATGTAGTAAGTCTGTGAGCATGGTAGGACAGTTAGAAAATTGGAAGTAGTAATGTGTAAGTTGATCTTGATTATAACAAACTGATAATTAATACGTTTTACTACGGGAAAGCAGATTCTGCAGAGATTATTTAGTTGACCCTGAACATTTTTCTACCAGAAAGCTTATTTTTCATTCACATAAGGTAAATATGTTATGTTTTACATAATGTTTCTATTCTCACTGAAGAAATATTTTGCTCTTACATTGTTAATTGTCAATTGGGATTGTCCTTGTTAACACTGGAAAATTCTGAAGACTGAGCATAGAAGTGAACATTTGTGATAGTCTTAAATTCTCAGAATTAAACAGCATATCATCACTTTCTCCTGGCTAGTAAAATTCTCAAGTCAATTATTTTCTCAGATCTGAGGGTGCATTTCCCATTAGGTGGTTTCAAATTTAAGATCAAGATTTCTGGTATAGTTTTCTAAATGCAGTGTCTATTAGCATGGTGGTAGCTAAGTGCCCATTAGAATCAGTGAGCGGAGTCCGAAGAATGTGCTTATCATAAACTAGGTACTTTATTCTAAATGAGATATTTTATGGTATGAAGACAGAGAAGATAAATTGATTTTTATTTAAGTTGCAACTTAAAGCACCTCTATACTGTTATATAAAGAAGCTACTTGCTGAACATCTAGATCCATACTCCCAAGTGAACTGGACCTGTGGTATGGGAATACATGCATAAAGAGTATAGGCCTTTTCCAATTAAAAACATTTACACAGTTTAAGCATAAATGCAAGCTTTATCTGATATATGTGGGTTTGCAGGGACCTCATAAAGGTGTTTGCAGTAGTAAGAGGACTAAATCACCGCATTGCATTAGCACAGCTTGCAAGGTGCAGGAGTCCTAACACAGGTATTAAATCTGCTCTTCTAGATTTCAGAGTCTCTGGGATTCTAACAAGGTTTGCAAGTGCTTCTTTAGAACCCTTCCAATTGTCTCTTCAGGCTGCTGAAGTAACAAAAAATATTTTGTAATAGTGATGCTGTTGCTCCTGCTCTTTTGGGATGCAGTTCTTCAGAAAAAAAAAATAAATTGCTGAGCATCAGGGAGGGGCTAATAAAGCATAGTGAGTATGCGTGAAGTGTTTTCTCACATGAACTCTTCAAAAATTATGATCCGACTGTTTGAGCACCCACTCAATTGTCCTATCTATTTTCCATATAATAAAAACAGGAAGGTTGGAACTAGATAATCTTCAGTGTCCATCCCAACTCAAATCATTCTATGATTCTATGAAAATTAAGTATAACAAAGGTGGAGATTATCTGGATCTATATATGGTTTGATTTCTGAAGTATTTATTGTTAAAACTTAGCATTTGTTCCTTTCCCTCCTAACAATCTTAAAATCAAGGAACAATTCTTTGCTTCTGGAATGATCTCTTGTCCTTTGAATCCAGCAGTCCTCTAGACCTGTATCGCACAGAAGACATTAATATTTCTTCTAGTTGTGGTTTAACCAGTCTGATACTTCCAGGAAAGGTATTCAGTTAAAAACCTGATTACAGTGTTTAAGTCTCCTTGTGTGTGTTCCCATATCTTAATTTTCTCTCACTCAGTTGCATACATTCAAGTTTGTTGTAACTCGCTATGTCAGTAGGATGCAAAGTGCTGTGGTCACTCTCCAGCAGTGAAAAATCTTTTGACTCCGCTATTTTCTTTCTTTCTTCAAAATATAAATTCTGCTTTGAATTACCTTCTTTTCAGAAGGATATCAAGAACAGCATGAATGAGGTGCAATTTAACATTACATAGATTATTTTAAGCTATAGAAAAAGAAACGGCATTTTGGTATCCAGTAAATTGAAGGTTGTCACCAGTAGGTGAAATTGTCTATAAAAAATTCTTTCTTTTGGAGAAGGACCATAATTGCAGTTGGAATGTAACTTTTATTCATAAGTGATTGGGCAAGATTCATGGTATGTGTTGGGTTGCACTGTGGCATTTCAACCATTCTTATTTAAATGTGGCTTGATTCTGTTTAGTGTTAAGGGTCATTAGGATCTTTGCTTTGACAGAATCATTGTTAACCTTACCCTGTACACATTCTTTGTGTTTGGTGTTTCTATAAGAGTTGTATTTCTGGGAAGATCCTGTCCTTACACAGTTTATAAAAAGAAATATTAAGATGCAAAGGTGCTTTTGCATTTTTGCTGCCTGTGTTATGTGATTTTTTTAAATACATCTCTTCTGAAAAAGGCAGCAGCATTAAATGAGAGAAAGAATGCAATAAAGCAGGAGGAAATCCCCCTCACAATATCATTCTCCTTTCAGCTTAGTGTGAATTTTCCCTGCCCATGGCAGGGGGGGTGGAACCTGATGATCTTAAGGTCTTTTCCAACCCTAACTATTCTATGATTCTATGATTAAAGCTGTATTTCAAGCTGCAAATGCTTAAAAAAGGAGTGTACCAAGAAACTATGAAATTCAGTGATCCTGATGAAAGAGTCTATTTACAAACAACGACAGCAAGCAAACTTACGTGCTATATATATATACATATGTTATTCCTATAAAATATATGATAGTCTCAATAGCATAATTTGGACAGATGGGAGCAATAACAATGCAATAGAAGTAGGAAGGCAGTTGTGACATGAAAGAAGTGCATTAAAAAGTATTTCCATGAGGCTGGTAATTAAAGTCAGCATTGCAGTGGAGGATAGGCAGTGAAGACCCTCCAGTCATAACTAGAATTTCAATCATCTCCCACAAATTTGAGCAAGCCTCTCTGTCTCACTTGGAGCATCCTAAACAATGCAAGATTAATTAATGATGCTTACATTAAGTAATTTTTCTTCTTCGTTTCTTTTTTTCAAAGTTGTTTTACAGTGTAGACGGTCTTCAAAAATAAAAGGCAAGCACATTTGCCAGCTCTCTTACCAATTCTTTGACTCTTCAGGGTAATCTTGTTAGTATTATGGGCTTTTATTCCATGTTTTTCAATGCTGTCTTTTTAAAGTTACTTTATCAGTATTCTTCCCTCTCCTCAAACTATAATTTCCAAAAAAAATTATCTTGACTCATGTGAGACTTGGATATGATAGTTAAATTAATGCAGAAACATCTCAGTAGGATGATTTGGATCTTTTGGGTCTTCAAGCTTGTTCAACAGAAGAATAAGAGGAGGATATTTGAGCAGTGTTTGGTAGGGAGCAGAGGAAATATTAACAGTAATGCATTTTACTGTCAGCTGTAAAAAAGAGACTGTTTTTGCATTTTGAATCTTTGTACTTATTACATGTGTGGCAGAAGACAGAGAGATTGAGTCTTGCTTCACTAGATGAAAGAGCTCTCAGAAGACTGAAAAAAGCATGCAGGGGGACAGTCATGTACTGCAGCATCTAAAGTGCCTACACTTGATGTAAGGAGACATGGTTACATACTCTCCTCATTTACCTAGCAATTTCTAAACACAGAAGAAAGTTTTCCCTTTGTGCTTCCAGCTGTGATGCAGATGCTGCAAGCTCTTTCCAGTTCCCATACAGCTGAATAGCCTAGTTTCATGAAACCATTTACATTACTTGCAGAAAAGAATTGTTTAATATAACTTACTGTAAAAATTAAAAAAGTTCAGACGTTGGACTTCACTCAGTCAAAACAGAATAATCAAGAAGTTTTGCTGTGCCTGAAGTTAAGTACTTCTACTTTGTTCTGTAACTCTATGACTGATGTTCACAGAAAAATAAACCCTGGAAATAAATATATAAAATATATTTGTTGAGGACAGGGATATGAATGTATTGTGCTCAGAGAAATGTTAGCAATAAAATTCATGATCTTGGAATGCTACAAATTCCTCCTGTGAAGAATATACATTGAAAATAAAAATCACAGGTGTTGTAATAATATTTCACTTAAATCCATGTCATGTGAACATTATTGGAAATCCAAAGCCAGTTTACAATGAACATAAATGTGCAATGTAATTATCCTATGTTTTCCCTCTTTATGTTTCAGTTAACACAAATCTGCTTCTGTATGTCTTTCATCTTTTTTGTATTTATTTTTAGCATTTAGTTATTTTCCTAAGAGTTAACAATGAACCATTCTGTATAGTCAGATTCTTGACGCAGATCATACAAATCAGACTGTTCAGTGTGGCTCAGAATTGCTGATTATGGCTGTTCCAGGATAAATGCAAAAATAAATACTGTGAATAATTTTGCATGCAGACCTGGAGCTTTTTTTATATATGATTCCCACATGAAGCTTTCAATTTTGTTTCCACAAATATTGTGCTGCTAAAACACCATGATTAAAATTCCTAACAAAAGAAACAATTATTAAAACAAATGCAAGTAATACATTTTGGTTTTGTTTGTAAGCAACAATGAATTCCTTTTTCATGTTGATATGTCCATCCAATCTCTGTTTTTATCTGTGAGCTTAAGCAGTGTTCCACACTTAACAAAAGATGACTGACATGAGAGTAACATACTTTACAGTATCCTTAGTTCACCATATTCCTGTTTGAGACATTAGCGTTTCCCTCTATACACTGTATGTTCTTCAGGATGACCTATATGAAGTGCCTTAGTCTGCAACCATATTATTGATGATTAAACCAAAACAAAATTACATAGTTATTTTGAAGACATGGTTTACACTATATCCTTTGCTCAACATTTTATGACTTTCCATTTTTTGCTTGATGGACTATCTCTGATGTTATGATACTAGTTACTTTTTTATATTCTCTCTTCTATTCATCTTTTTAATTTCCTTGTAAAGATTTCTATTTTTAACATGTAAT